TTACGTATAGAATTCTGTTAAATAATGAAAGTACATTTGGCGCCTCATATGTTCAAGTACTTTAGTAATTAGATAATGAAGCACTTGACCTTTTTTTTATATGAATACGAATAAGAGTTAACAGTGAAAGCCGTATAAGTCAGTAGCATAAAATACAAATGAAAGTACAGTAGCAACTTCCTTGTGTTGTTTAATTTTATGGTTGTTTACTTTGTTTTCCTCGCAAGTTAGTCAACTTTTGAATGTGTATTTTTTTTATATGAGTTTGACAATAAAGAATATATATACAATATAAAGTTGAAATTTATTTAAACACAGGCTTTTGCTAGCTTGAGCTAGCTTCATCAGGTGCATGAAGTAAAATATTTGTTATAATATTAACAAGAAAAACTATTTTCTTATGCATTATTATAACTCACATTGATATTATCATGATTGATGGATGGTTCTATTAATTACCATTGCCATGGATGCTATACATTATATATAATATGTATTTAATTATCATTATGTTTTTATTTTGTTTACACTATATACACTAAAATAATATATTCTTATTCAACATATTACAAGCTTTAAAATAATGGGTTATTTACTGGAATCGACTTACTATTTCCAAAGACATGACCAAAAGTATTATGGTTTCTCTGTACTAAAGTATACAATCTTCTAATTACTCAGTTGAACAATTAGCGATAGTAACGATGGTTTTAGAATGGCAAGCCTCATATTTACTGTTTATACAGTACCTTATTTCATTTGTATTTATTACACAATTTTAAATATCAGGAAATCATACTTAACTATTACAACTTGTGAGATCATACACGAAATTATGCAGTATTATGTCTTTAATTTGCAAAACGTTCTGTATTTATACGTTCTGTATATATACGATATATATATATGATATATAACGTATATATATATATATTATATATAGTGTATATATATATATATATATATATATATACTAAACTAAAAAAAAAACTCATTTAATTATACTTCTTTGAAGTTGACCATTCCAAGAAAATGATTTGATATAGGACCGAAATTCAACCCGTTAAGACAGAGGTTGATTAGAGGCCATTATTTTGTCTCTCTAATTGTAGATAAGCTTAAAGGGTTTTTAAAATTTATATTCTCATCCAACGAAGAGTTGCTTCAAACTAATAAATAGAATAAAATTTGTATTACTCTATAAAATATGATGTAATATTAGACTGCTATAGACCTTGAAGTTTTCAGGATTGATCACAGGATGGCAAACTAAAGCATGACTATCAATCAACAGATTAACGCCATGAATTCACGATATCGTCGGAAAATAAAAGTCATCATGTAATTTAACCGTTAGTAAAACCACCATGCAAAACCCAACTACAATACAAAGGGTACAAAATGAAATAGTGGTAGGTAATGATATAGGTCAACATAAGGTAACTAAGGGTGTAGAACATATTGAAGCTTCATGCGTATATTGATTGATACAATTTTGAATACGTGCTATATGCTCTTCCTTATGTTATTTAAGAAAACATATCGACGAGCTACCAATTGTACGCCAATTGTAAGTCATGAACAGCCAAAATCGTTTAATCAATATGCATTGACTGGTGTTTGATGGCCATCCACTTCTAAAACTTAGGTATCGTTACTCTATCCTGTTTAATTTGAAAAGCATCAAAATGCTTCAAAATGTCTAGTTGATTGATTATTTTTCATGTTCCTTTAATAGTTTTCAATTGTGGTGGAAGCCAATATTTTTAAAAATATGTAGGCTTTACTTGAATTTATCAATATAAATAACAAGCTGTGTTTCTGTTCCCTGCAAAGTGATGTATACAGATCTCATTATACAAGCATTAATTGATCGCCAACAGCTTTTTATAGATGCATGGCCTAATTCAGCATATTTTTATCTGGTGGAAAATCTACAACGCAATTAATTAATGCACGATGTGAATAGTTATTAACTTCGGGTTTTTCTTATTCAAGTTCATTTGGGTTTATTGCATATTCTGGATAATGTATGTCAGTCGCCTAATTACACTTGTTTTTATGTTATGTAGAACATGTACAGGGGTGGAATTTATACTTGAGCCTGCTGACACAGTGGCAACAGAACGTAAAGAGAGCTTTTTCTACTGTATAGTCAGGAATCTTTCAGATGATCAAGAACTAGCCTGGTATCAAGAAGAGACACAAGTTAGCACCAATATTCAAGTGTTAGTAGACCCCGCTAAGTATATTGCCGACTATGACGAAGTATACGGTCAATATCGTTTAGTAATTCAATCTGTCTCTCGCAAAGACGGACTTTCAAGGTATTCGTGTAGAATTAAACAAAATGGCGAGAGTATTTTGAGATCCAGAGAGGCTAAGCTCTTAGTTCAAGAAGTTCCTGGAGAATTTTACCCATTCTGTCTTCCATTGAGACCTAACTATGTCGCAGGTGAAACTGTCGTTGTCTCTTGTAAATCTGAAGTAACAGTACCTCCAGTTAAACTAATGTTTAATAAAAATGAGGAAATTATAGACAAGTCTTTGCAGTTGGACTACTCGGAACATGACTACGTTTATCTCAGACATACGTTCATAGCCCAGTCAAACGATAATGGAAAGATATTTAAATGTTCGATGACGTCTCCGTCAATGCAGTTGATAAGAAACTGTAGTACGTCCCCTTTGAATGTACACTACAAACCGATTGTGGGTATCCAAGGTCAAACTGAGCTGGAGTTTGACAGAGAAGCATTTTTTATCTGCCATAGCAATTCAAATCCTCCTGCTTTCAGCTACAGCTGGATGTTTATACCTTCAATTCAAACAGATCGTTACAAAACCGAAACGTCTAACCAGATTTTAAGGCTCGTCAATCCTAGTGAGGATCTGCTTGGTGTCGAGATTATTTGTATTGTGTCAAATTCTGTTGGAAACGGGACTTATGAGTTTCAGCTAAACTTCGGTCAAGAAAGTACCACCCATTTCGACAACATAACCACACAAATTCAGTTTCAGGGAGAACCCAACCTTCCTGACAAACCATCTGATGACAACAGAAATTGGTTCACGACGAGCGCACGCAACCCGTACATTTCTTTTGGTGCAATTGCAGTTTTCTTAATTGCAGCTTTTATTCCATTATGCGTTATTAAGTTATATACGATGGAGAGAAAACCATCTTCCATTTGTAAGCATACACAGTTAGATCCTTATAGTGAACCAAAAGACCAAATTGCTCTTGCTTTTCCACTGTCGGAGCAGATTGCATCGTGGAGACGGTCTGTTGGGGTCCAGGTTAACGAAGGCACAGAAGCAGAGCCAATGTATGTTGAAATTCCGGCTGACAGGTATATCATTCCTGCATCGACAATTTTGTGACACATTTTTTATTAATTACGTAATATTACAAGTGAACGAATTACTAATAAACTATTTCATAGATTAAACAAATGTCGTGTATCAATAGTGATCATAAAGTAATTATCGAACTTCTATTCAATACAATATCATTGTTTTCGATTTTAGACGTGTTTTTCTTTTTTTACTTTAGTGTTGTGGAATTGTAAATAAGAAGGGAATAATTGTGTTCATACAAATGACATAATCTATCTCAGTTTTAATCAGACTAGTTAATGGTAACACACACACACAAAAAACCAATTCAATGGTATAGTTTCATCCACCATTGATAAGTCTTGGTTGGCAGTTATATTACCAAATTGTCCTACTAAAAATGTTATGCACTGAATTCTAATAAGTGTTATTTCTGAAATTAGACATTTAAAAATATAATCATGAGTCGCAAGTTTTATGATCTTTGATGACAATCAATACATTAATACATTTTTTTTAATCTAGGAAAGTAAATTTTAGTTACAATGTACGGTATGTGACAATATTGTAAAACTAACCTGAACTTGGATCAAACTGTGCCAACACTACTTACCATCTTAAAATAATTATAGGTTTTGTAGGAAGCTTTGAATCCAATTGTTAAATACACGTACATTGAAAGTGCGTACAATAAATCTTTGAATACAATTAATAATTTTTTTTTTTTTGATCTATTGTAGAAAAATCAATTTCAGTTACATTGTATTTGACAATATTGTAAATCGAACCTGAACTTAAATCAAAATTGTGCCAACACCACTAAGAATTTTGTAGGACGCTTTTAATTCAATTGTTAATCACCTACATTTATAGTACAATAATAAATATTGTAATAATTTGCATTTTGTTGCAATCTGAATAGGAGTCAATTTTACATTCAAGTTTTTAGTTTACGTATGAAGATATTTTCATAGACCTATTTTAACTCACTAAAGTTATATTCTTTATAAAACAATCACAAATTTACTCTTTGGCTAGGAAAATGAATTACCTGTCATCTGACCGATTTAAGTATTCGAAAAAAAAAACATATAAATCTTATGCCTATTTCACTTCCACCAACCTAGTGAGCAAAAGATTTTTTTTCTGTAAAGTTTTTGATTAAAATGTATTATGTTTACTGAAATATACAAAGTAACCAATTTATATATTGAGTTGTGTTAATCTTGACAAAACACAGATATTATGTTAAACTGTAAGGTAATATC